AATCCTGGGGTACCCCCCGCGAAGGCCTCTCTGTCCCCCCAAGATCCATAGGTTTTTTTTGGCGGGTTTAGGTTTTTTTTTGCCCGGTGTTTCCAAATTATGATGCTGATACCGGGCTTACAAAACCCATAGGTTTATGCCTTGGGCTCCCTTTGGTTTTTGGTCCTGCGCCCTCTCTACGATTGGGGAGGGTCTGGGATTGGCCGAAGGAGGCCTTTTAGGAGACCTTTTGGAAGGACTGTCCTGGGACCTCAGGAAACCCTGCTTACAAGATCCATAGGTTTAAATGTTGGGGCTCCCTTTGATTTTTGGTCCTGTGGGAGACGATTGGGGAGGGTTTGGGAGGCCTGGCCGAAGGAGGCTTCCTGAAAGGATTTCCTGGTGGCCCCCTGGAACCTCGGCCCCTGGGACCTCTTGGGACCTTGCTTACAAGATTTTGGCGGGTTTAGGGTTTTTTTTGCCCGGTGTTTCCCAAATTGTGATGCTTATACGGGGCTTACAACCCAAAACAGCCCAAAAATGGCTTAAGCCCAAAAAGGCTCAAACAGTCCGGGAGGAGCCCAAAAAGCCTCAGAACTGGTCCGGCAGAAGCCCAAAAAGCTCAGAAATGGTGCATAAGATGGTGGGGTAAACCCAAAAAAGCTCAGAAATGGCTCAGAAATGGTCCGGGAAGAGCTCAAAAAGGCTCGAATGGTCCGGGAAGAGCTCAAAAAAGCCCAGAAATGGTCCGGGCTCAGAAATGGTCCGGGTGGAGTCAGAAATGGTCCGGGAGAAGCTTCCGAAAAGGCTCAAAAATGGTTCGGGAAGAGCTCAAAAAGGCGCAGAAATGGTCCAGGCCTAGGGCTCCGGGCGGAAAGCCCAAAAAAGGCTCAGAAATGGTCCGAGAAGAGCTCAACAAGGCTGAAATGGTCCGGGCGGAGGGCAAAAAATGCTCAGAAATGGTCCGGGAGGAGGCCAAAAAGGCGAAAAGAGCTCAAAAAGGCTCAGAAATGGCCGGAGAAGCCCCAACAGGCTCCGGAATGGTCCGGGAAGAGCTCAAAAAGGCTCAGAAATGGTCCGGGCCCAGCCCAAAAAAGGCCCAGAAATGGTCGGGGAGACCAAAAGGCTCAGAAACGGTCCGGGAGAAGCCCAAATGGTCCGGGACAGGCAAAAAATGGTCCGGGAGGAGATGGTCCGAGGACGCACCAGTGCGGGGTCACTAAAAACCTAACGTTTAGGGTAATTCTCTTTGGAGCCAGACTGACGCTGGCACGCGGGTTAAACCCGCTCACCCCGCCCAACGGCCCCGAGCCCTCGCCAGGCTAAGGCTCGGGCTCGTCCGCGGGCCTGTCGCCACGCGGTATCGCTCGCCGCTGCTTATCGCAGCGCCCGCGGCTCGCTCCAGTTGAGGGTTGAGGGTTTAGGGTTTAGGGCTTAGGGCTTAGGGCTTAGGGTTTAGGGCGTCCAGATAAGGAGAGTAGTAAGAGTGGCGAGGGACCTAGGCACTTGTATGGTATTATACGGTGCCAAAATTCCGTAGTACCCCATGCTTAGCCAGTCGGTACGGTGAACCCCTAAACCCTAAGCCCTAAACCCTAAACCCTAAACCTTAAACCCTAAACCCTAAACCCTAGACCCTAGACCCTAAACCCTGTCTTGGGGTCTTGGGGGCGGGTTTATGGACTGGGCGTCTTGGTTCTCTGGTGCGCGGAGAGTCGAACTTTGTGGCCGGGGGGGTAGAATAAGACAAGTAGTTTAAAGAAAATACGATGGAACCCCAAAAATGTGAGCCCCCCAATCATCAATAGGGGACATGTGCTGCCTGTGCTTGAAGATCGTACCTAAACCCTGAACCCCGTTGAGCTAAGAATCCTGTAAAGGGGTATGACTGCGGTTTTGTAAGCTCTGGAACCCTGAGTTTGGGGTCTTGCTACACCTGTTGTATGCCGCATCTCTACCTTGAAGGAGGGTTTCGGGTTTAGGGTTTAGGGTTTAACGTGTTTAGCGTGTTTGGCGTGTTTAGGCTTCCATGGTTGACCATGACCTGCAAAACATGTAGCTTTTGGAGGTTCTTCAAGTAGCCGTGGGTACCTCTCTGCGACCAAGGCCGGCGACGGTTCGAAGCAGTGATCCTGGTTTCAGGCGCTGGGGTTTAGGGGTTTAGGGGTTTAGGGGTTTAGGGGTTTAGGGTTGAGGGTTTAGGAGCCCAAACCCTAAACCCTAAACCCTAAACCCTAAACCCTAAACCCTAAACCCTAAACCCTAAACCCTAAACCCTAAACCCTAAACCCTAAACCCTAAACCCTATAATCCCCTAAACCCGACACCACATTACACCACTAGCGCGGGAAGCCAGGCATCTACGACCTTCGGACCCAGTGGGAGGACGCACGCCGGTTCCTGGCGCCGGTGATGAACCTGCTTTTCAAGGAGGGCTTAGGGTTTAGGGTTTACGGTTCTAGGCTGGGGTCTTAGGGTTTAGGATTTAGGATCCATAGGGTTTTGGGGTTCAGGGGGCTGTTTTGGAACGGAAGTTAAAGTTATATGGAGTGAAGGGATTTAGGAGTTTCGGTTCAGGGTTTAAGGCTTGGCGTTTAGAATTTTGCCTGGGCAGCCTTCGTCCTTGGCTTCTAGGGTGGTGGTTTAAGCACGAAACCCTTACACGACGCGCGTACCCTAAATCGCTAGCCCCTAAACCCTCCAAATCTTAAACCCCAAACCTCAAACCTCAAACCCTGAACCCGAAACCCTAAACCCTAAACCTCAAACCTCAAACCCTAAACCCTGAAGAACCCTAAGCCCGAAACCCTTAACCCTAAACCCTAAACCCTAAACCCCAAACCCTAGCGTTCGCAGGACATAATCGGCGCAGACACGGACGCGAAACGCGCAGCTTCGTCACCCGCGGCACTGGCCCTGGCGTTCGGGACAGTTAGATTTAGAGTTTAGGGTTTTGGGTTTAGGGTTTAGGGTTCAGGGTTTAGGGTTATAGGGTTTAGGGTATAGGGTTTGGGGTTGTTGGTTTGGGGTGTTTGGGGTTAGGGTTTAGGGTTTGGGGTTTAGGTTTTGGGGTGTTGGGGGTTTGGCGTGTTTGGGGTGTTTGGGGTTATGGGTTTCGGGTTTAGGGTTTGGGGTGTTTGGGGTTAGGGTTCAGGGGTGTTTGGCGAGAAGGTTTGGGGACCAGGCTCCGCTGTGATATGATGCAGAAGCTGAGCTATCCATGCGTGCCGTCCCCCAATTGTATGTAGGGCCTTGCGTTTTGGGGGTTTGGGGTTTAGGGCCGGACTCACCCTAAATAACATGACCAACATGGACGTACAATACTCTCAGCATTTGACACCAGACACCGGAAAGCTTGGACGTCATCCTCGCCAGCATCTTTGGCCAACATCCGCCCCAGTATGACCTTCGCTTCCTCGCCGTCGATGTCAGACAGCGTCGCCAATTGTGACACCGACCAACGGCTAAACGCATTCGCAATCGCCTCCGGAATCGACAGTTGACCGCAGAGGTCGCGCACCTCCATGGCCAAGTCTAAAACGCAACCTAGCAAGAACAGACCTCTACCCTTTGCAGACCCTTCGAGCTGCAAAGGCTGATGAATGGAAGCACTGCTTGCCAAGTGATATGAGGCATGCAGCAAGGACAAACAGCCATGGACGCTCTAAGCTGGTCACTCGTGTCCCGTGGGTTTTTGCGACTCTGTAATTCTCTACGTGCGTTCTCCGCCATACACCCCCTGCGGTAGAGAAACTCAGTTCCCCACAGCCTGTGTTTCCGGCGATGATACCGCTCGCCTGGCAGCGGAGCCCTTTTCTGAGAACAGTTCCGGCGGTATGTAGGTTGACAGAGGTTTGAATGCGCGACCAGCTGCTCAAAGGAGGGGCTGGGGCGGCCTAAGCCCTAAACCCTAAGCCCTAAGCCCTAAGCCCTAAACCCCTAAACCCCAAACCCCAAACCCCAAAAACCCCAAGGTTGACTCCCCAGGCTCTGGTGCAATCCTCGCAGCAGAAAGCCTTGGATCCTGATTGCCATTGGTGGATACTGAATGCGCGGACGGTGACTTGCCGAGGTCAGTTTACAAGGTTTTTGTGAGGGTTCAGTTTAGGCTTAAGGGTTTGGGCCCTACACTCCCTAAACCCCAAACCTTAAACCGTAAGCCCCAAACCCTTCTTTGGGGCGTAGTGGTGTCCCGGCATGGGTGACAGCGTTGCGCTAAGGAGCTCTGTGTTCACGGTTAGATGTTTGGGGCTTAGGTTTCAGTGTGCCCTTGGCGCAAACAAAGCTCACCTCGAACCACCTGGAGTCCAGGGCCAGTGCCTACAGGTCTTCTACTGGCATCCACCCCGAAGCCCGAAACCCTGAACCCTAAACCCTAAACCCTAAACCCTAAATCCTAAGAAGCCCAGGAGCTCTTGGGCTTGCCCCTGTTGGAAGACATCCTCTTCGCAAGCTGCGCGCTCAGGGGGAGCCTCCCCAACTTTACGGGAAACTCTACGGCCTAGGGTTTAGGGTTTAGGGTTTTGGGGTCAGGGTCGCCCGCACCGACCTGCCCAGGAGACGACCAAGTTACCATTCGTTGAGGGGAGAGGATGGGTGGACAGGTAGGCAGCATATAGGATCCCAGATTGAAATTTACGGGCATGTGTTTAGCAGATTGGTCCGGGGCTCATGAATATCACTTCCTTTTTGGAGGTCCTCTGGTTAGGCATCCTTTGTTGCAAGAGGCAGCTATAAGTCTATAGGGGGACCTGGAGTTACAACAGCCCCCCATGGTTAGGTGGGTGTTGAGAAACAAGGTTTCGAGAGAGTTGGGATCAAACCTTGTAAGCCCTACAAAGTAAAGCCTAGGCCTGGAAGCTTTCTAAAGCCCCAAAGTTTTTGATAAAGCCGATAGACCCGAAAAACCCTGCAAACCCTAACCGGCCCTAACCGTAAGCCCCAAAGCCCTAAACCCCAAACCTTAAGCCCTAAACCCTAAACCCTAAACCCTAAACCCTAAGCCCTAAACCCTAAGCCCCAAACCCCAAACCCTAAAAGCCTGTGGACAGCCGACTCGGCAAGCTGGGCCACTCCCTCCCTCTCTACTCTGTGCAGTGCACGAAAAGCCTCGATTTCGTTCGAGTTTGCCCTTCGCCTTGCCCTGAGCTTAAAACCCTACTTGGAGGTTCATGGTACTTAGGGTAGCCCATGAGGAGTGTAGTTTTTCACCCACATCTAAGCCCCTTAAGTATCCCAATAGGGTTATCATTGGGTTATAAGTACAGCTATCATTGGGTTACGAAGTGCCAGGAACCTCCAAGTATAAGACCTGAACCCTACACCCCGGACGCCCTGAAACCCCTCACGCCCAAAGCCCCAAAGCTTGAAACCCTAAACCCCAAACCCTAAACCCTAAACCATAAACCCTAAACCCTAAGCCCCTACAGCCTCGGGACTCCATCTCACACCTTTGAACCCCCCCGCCCCCGCGCCCCGCCCCCACCAATTTTTAGAGTTTAGGGTTCGGGGCCACAAGTCCTCAATTAAGGCCAAAAGGGTTTCGGGTTTAGGGTTTAGGGTTTTTGAGAACTGCTCAGATATCAAGTTTCCCCGGAACCAGTGTTGACATGCCGAGCCGTGTGAGCCGATATTCTATGCCCTTAGCTGGACCTTAGACTCAGCCTTAAAGGCGGGAAGACGGCTCCAGAAATGACATTGGGATTTTCGCTAGCTTGGCTAGTGGCCAATTTTAGTGATCTTGGGCCTGCACAAATCCTCAATCAAGAACAAACCATAGGGATTTTCGCCAGTTTGGCAGTGATCTTTACATATTTGGGGCTTTCACACACCAAAAAGGCCGACAGTTTTTTTTTCAAGGTCTTGAAAAGAAGCTGAAAAAGCTGGTGTGTTTCAGCAAAAAGCAAAACGAGAAACTCGGTCAAAACCCGGTCAAAACTCCGGACCCAAGTAACCCACACAATTTCTATGACCCTAAACCCTCAACCCTCGACCCTAAACCCTAAACCCTAGACCCTAAACCCTAGCCCTAAACCCCAAACCCTCCAGCCCTAAACCCTAGACCCTCTAGCCCGAAACCCCAAACCCCCAGGTAGCGGGCTGCACGAGGGTCTGAAGGCGAAAGGCGCCACGGTGAAGCGCGGGCCCCGGCCAACCACGCTTAGGGCTAGGGTTTAGGGCTAGGGTTTAGGGCTAGGGTTTAGGGCTAGGGCTGAGTGTCCTCGATGTGTCTAGGGGATTCAGGTATTTTGGGGCTGAGCTATAGGCTTGGGTGAGTTCAGGGCATTCAGGTGTCGGGGTTTAGGGGTTAGGGCGGGGCCGGAGTGGCCTTCGCGGGCTCTAATGTCTCGATGGGGTTCTGAGAATCGGACCCCTAAACCCCAAACCCTAAACCCGAAACCCTAAACCCTAAACCCTAAACCCTAAACCCTCAACCCTAAACCCTAAATCCTAAACCCGGGTCTGAATGTTGGGATGTTTTCCATAGACTAGCAGTCCCTAATGGGGATTGTAATAGGAGTTTTAACGCTAGACCCTAAACCCTAAGTCCTAAACGCGAAAGTTACTATAATCCCTATTCAGGACTGTTAGTCTAAGGGGGAACCCCATACCCTAAACCCTAAACCCTAACTAAACCGTAAACCCTAAACCCTAAACCCTAAATCCTAAACCTTAAACCCTAAACCCTAAACCCGGAACATTCCAAGCTGAATAATTTGCATCCACGTGCACAAATTTGAATCTTGGAGTCTCAGGAATGTGGGCTCGGTAGGGTTTAGGGTTTAGGGCTTAGGGTTTAGGGTTTAGGGTTTAGGGTTTAGGGTTTAGGGGCTAGGGGTTTAAGGGTTAGGGTTTAGGGTTTAGGGTTTAGGGTTCAGGAGTTAGTGTTCCGATGGGCACTTCTCGAAGATCTGGTCCCTTTTTGGGGTTGCTATTGTCTCAGGCGGGCCCTTATGATTCAGTGTGCTCCAAAAGGGACCATAAATTAGAGAGCTGACCATAGGCAGTTGTGTTTCGTGAGCCTAAGTCACTTGGGGGCTTGCTTTTTGGTTTGCTTTCTCGTCTTTGGGGCTCTTTGTGTCTGTCTGTTTTTTTTTTTTTCTCTCCGGTTTATGGTTTAGGTTTTCGTGCGGGCGGTTTGCACGCAGCTGTGCAGCATGTTTGGTGCATGCTTTGTGAGTTGCTACAGTGCCTGTGGAAGGTAGGCAGTAAAGTCATGGGGGGAAGCCTCGACTGGACCCAGGACCAGTAGAGGGTGTAGGGTTTAGGGTTCAGGGTGGTTGATTCGTCGCGGTCGGATGGCTGTTGTCACGAGCCTCCAAAGCAACGGGGGTTATGTTGGAGTTCGACAAAATGCAAACCGAAAGTCCTTGGGCGGAACAGGAGCTAAAGGGATTGATGAGATGGAGTAAGGCTGTCTACAGTCATGCTGCGACAGTCAGGCGCTTTTGTGCGAAGCTCTTCAGCCCCTACGCCGCCTTAAAGCGAAAGCCCCGAACCTTAGAGATCTCAAGCCCCTAAAACAGACCGGCTCATCGCTAAGAGGCGCGCGGAATGTGGCCACAACCACTGGCTCCTGGTCGGGGACTGAGCTCGGGGGACTGAACGGCTTCGAGTTTTTGGGGCTCACCTAGGAGCTCGCGGGGTTTCCAGAAGCTACGCTTGCGAAAATGTCCCGGAACAAGGATGTTGTAGAATTTGGGGTACGCAAGGATATCGGGGGTTCCTGGAACAAGGATGTCGTAGTAATTGCTCGTGCGCAAGGAGTGCCCCCACGTTCGGACGCGCATTTTGCGTATGTTTTGGCCTTCGGGGAGCTCCGACAGCGTTCGAAGGCTTGGAGTTTCCACGGGGCACTTCGGCACAACCCTTATGACCCTTATAACCCTTATAGCCCTTATAACCCTTATAGCCCTTATAACCCTTGTAACCCTTATAACCCTTATAACCCTCATAACCCTTATAACCCTTATAACCCTTATAACCCTTATAACCCTTATAACCCTTATAACCATTATAACCATTATAACCCTTATAACCCTTCTAACCCTAAACCCTAAACCCAGGTGTTTGGCTTTCCGGCCTTTGCGGCTGCCTTCTCTGAGACGCTCAAGGGGAAGGAGAGAGATGAGGAAGAGGAGAATGAGGAAGATGAGGAAGATGAGGCCGAGAAGGATGCGAAGTGAGGTTAGGACGAAACCCTAAACCCTAAACCCTAAACCCTAAACCCTAAACCCTAAACCCTAAACCCTAAACCCTAAACCCTAAACCCTAAACCCTAAACCCTAGACCCTTTTACCCCAAACCCCCAAACCTGCCATAATGCCCTGTACAACCCCGAAGCCGGGCAAGTGGGTGCTTCCCAATCATAGGGGGTACCCTTAACATACCCCCCAAAATAGTATAATCCTCATGATAGGAACCCCCAAAAGGGTACCCCCTATGACCGGATTCGGAAATCCCCCATGTGCGCTCTTGAGTAGTTGCCCAAAGTCGCGGAGACCCCGGCATTGATTGATTCAAGGCGGGGCGCCGGCTCCGCCTGTACATAGCAACGAGCCCAACACCTCACAGTTCAGGTTAAGGAATAATGATGCCTCAAGTTACAATTCAATTAGGGCTCCTAAAAAAAGGTTAGGGTGTGTTCCTGAGTTGCGAGGTACTGGCATTGGGCTCTCTAGGATAGCGGGGAGACGTTCTTGCAGCGGCCGCGTGAAGGAAAAAGCGTTCAATCTGGGTTCGCCTCAAGGATTCCAACCTCCAAATCCAAGAGCCCCACAGCCCCAAGCCCCGAAGCCCTAAACGCCTAAACCCAAGAACCCAAACCGGTGACCCTACCAAGCCCTAAACCCTGCTTTGGGCTCCAACCGTTGCAAGAGTTGCTCTGCGTTGCTGGGTCCGCAACATTGCGTAGCTCGTTGCCCTTCTCAAAGAGCAGAAGCAGAAGGCCCTGGCCATCTTGGCCAGGAAGATCGCCCGAGTCTGAGCGAGATCTGGCGACCCTAGAGTGGAAACAGCGTCTTTGGGCCTGCCGTCGCGTGTTGAGCTTGAGGAGTGTCTAGGATGCTTTTCCCGGGATTCAGTGCCGAGTTCAGGCTACAGCGCGAGCTTGGCTCCAAAAAATGGGGGCACCCCAAAACAATCGGATCTCCCAGATTCAGCCATGGCTTCCACGGCTTGAGGCCCTCGACGCCCTGACAGCTGAGCATCCATACCGTCTCCGCTGAGCCTGTGCCTTATGTAAGCCATCTTCTACACTCCTCGTTGGGGGGTTTATAGCTCGATCCGGGTGTAGGGCTATTTTCGGGGAGTAGACAGAGTTTAGACTCTAGCTTATATATGTTGCAGATGATGGTGAGATGTTGCCTGGGCCGGAGGCTGGCACGGCTTTGGATGCAAACGGTTTCGTCGTCCAAAGCCAGGCCTTGTGCAAAGTGATGCCACGCGCAAAGTGCTGCGACGCGCGTGTTGCACGTGGATCATCGTAAAGTTTTCGGAGCTTGGTGCAGGCGGTTGAGGACAGCGCGCGGGCAGAGGCACCCGGACAACGTATAGTGCAAGCAGATTAATATGCAACGGCGGCGTCATCAGGTAAGTGCGAAAGGAAGCATGCAGCTTCTGCTCTCCTCCACACAGCCCCTTCTTTCGAGATATCCGATTGCGCCGATCGCCTTTTGGTGAGGTTGTGACGGAACTTGGGGTGTAGGGGAGTCTGGAAAGGGGATGAGCTGGAGATCTATCAGCCAAGCAGAGGAAAACTTCCAGTGTGCCTCAACAATAGTTGCCTGAGTGATCTGTTGAGGATACACTACTTAATCAGAGAGCTTGAAGATCAGAGAGGTTCCGCTCTTTCGCGTGCCTTGCTGCTTCAGTTTGCAATCACTGGAGTTCTTCACGAAGTCTCAATCCGTGACCTTCAGAAACGGCTGGATGATCCAGCTGCTTTGTGCGTCGCCCCCCTGAAGTGCGCAGATGCGGTCTTGCCGAGCAGTTTCAACTTTCAGATCTGAGAAGAGTTTGCTTTAACAGATGGCGAGACTATGCAGTCGTGGAGTTGTAACAGCTTGAGAGCCTGTGCAGCCGGAACTTGGATGCACGCGATGTTCGAACACCTACTGAACGGTCTCGACGTCCGTCCCAGATGCATGGAAAGCGAGCTCTCCCATGTGCTTACGACTTCTCTGCGACGCAGTGAATGAATTTCCGAAGCTGAGAATATATCGCACGGCATGGGCCCTTCGTGCGATGAAAGAGGATCTAGCTGGCTTCATTGATGCAGTGTTTCTAGACGAAGGCGACGACGAGCTCTTGCTCGTGGACTGGACAAGATTTGCTCCGTCCGAATATGACAGTTACGGACGACGCATGCTCGGTCCCTTGGCCCTCGTCACGCGTCCCTGACTGTCAGGGCGAGCGTTACAGACTCCAGCTAAACATGTACAAGTGGGTTCTCACGCAATACTATTCCAAAGAAGTCAAAGGCATGATGGTCGTTTCCACAGCACCACATGCTGCCGGAGAGCCTTTCGTGGACAATGTTCCACAAATGCCGGACATCGTCAGTGAGCTTTTGTGCGTCAGGAAGCGTTTCCGAACAAGAACCGTTCCCCAACTTTCGACCAGATGGAGTCAGAACAGGACAGCCAAGATGCGCCGGACATTGAGAAGAAGGTCACGCCGCCGTAAACCCTGTAAACCCTAAACCCTAAATCCTACACCCTAAACCCTAAACCCTGTGCAGCCAAATTGTGTCCCTGTAACAAGGCCTCGGCGAAAAGGAGGCAACCTGTTGCGTCAGTCCACAACGAACCGCTCCAAGCAATTTCTGAAGCCAGTATCGTTAACCTACAAGTAACACGCAGTACATACAATTGTCTAGACTGAAAACTCAATTGCCCTGCGACTACTCTTTGTACCGTACATGTCCCACATGGGGCGCGGCTCTGAGAGCAAATGCCGGGCCAGGCATCGTGCTATACATTACTATACGTCAATCGGCAATGCCGCCCGCGTCTTAATTTTCCTGGACTAAGAGGAATTAACGTGGACCCTGAAACTGGCAGACTGTTTGTTGGCCCTGGTGAAGGGCGATTTCTACAAAAGGTCACCACCAGGTCAAGTCCGTCCTGTGTCGGGCTTTTGTTGTGGACTCTTGATTGCAAAACTTGGGGAATGTTTTCGCACACTGAAGGGAACAAACCTGAACACTGAATATACCGTAACGTAGCAACATGGAACCCACAGTACTAATTTATCTGGGCACGGAAACCAAAGAGTGCCAGGGAGCGGAAAGGCAGTCCAACATTTGTTCCCATGTCTGTCGGCCTTCGTTATGGACTCATGATTGCAAAACTAGCATGAAGTGCTCGAAAGCTGAAGCGCAAGGGGCCGTCGCCTTTCTTTAAGGTTTAGGATGTTGGTGGTTTTTGTATGCCGTAGATAAACTGCATAGTCGAACCTCCTCAGCTTTGACATCTTCCTGAACAACGTTCCTTTTGTCTGTTTTTGGCTTTCACTGGTTTGGAAACTGGTCGAAAAGGCGCGCCGCCCGTAGCTCGCTGGGCGGTGCCGTCGGGATGTCTTTTTTGGTTTCGGGGATTGTGCCTGTGCCCCTCTTCCTTTACCCTAGCCCCCTCTGGTTTGAGCTAGGGTTGATCTGTGCACGATCAAATAGGGTTGAGGGTTTAGGGTTTAGGGTTTTGTGAGCCCTGAATACCAAGCATTGGGTTACTCAGCCTTAGGCCCCGACAGGCTTTATCAGTAAGGTTTGCCGCTGCGCTTTTGCTCAAGCTTCCAGCCGACTGCGGCTACTTTAAAGAGGGCTTTAGACCCCAAAGCCCCAAACCCTAAACCCTATAACCTCCACCAGAGCAACCTGTGATCTCCCCAACCCTAAATTCCGAACCCCTATGAGTCCATATGTTGTATGGGCCATTTCTCTAAATAAGGGCCCCTTCTTTTGGAGTCCGAACGCAACCCCTGCAGTAAGAGATCCCAACTTCCCACAGCCCCAAATTCGCCCCTCCCGAAATGCTTACCATCCCAACAGAGGCGTCCCCGAAGGAGCGTAATTATTAGGGTTTTTAGGATTCAGGGTTTAGGGTCTAGGCTTTAAGGGTTGAGTTTACGGGTAATCATGGGGGCGGGGCTTAGCACTTTAGCAGAACCTACCCTCCCTCTTTCTTTCATCCCCCTCACATGCATCTTCCGCGCTGCTTCTTAGCATGGGTGGCCGTGGCCGTGCCCTTGGTCACCCAAAACCCAAAACCCAAAACCCAAAACCCTAAACCCTAAACCCCAAACCCTAAACCCCAAACCTTAAACTCCTAAACCCCCCAAACCCCAAACCCTCAAGGCCCCCCAACCTTGAATCCTAGGGCCTTGAAGGGCTTGGGAGCCTAGCGCTTCATGACTGACATGACGCGTGCCTCACTTGGATTCTTTAAGTTGCGATCTCAGGGCTGCGTGAATTTTGGGGTTTAGAGCTTAGGGTTGAGGGTTTAGGGAACCCTAAACCCTAAGCCCTAAACCCGAAACCCTAAACCCTAAGCCCTAAACCTTAAACCCTAAGCCCGACAAACAGCCCCGCAATCTGGAGACACTGCATCCCATGAGCGCCATGCGCTTGAGGGCTTTAGTAGGGCTTGAAATGGGTTTCAATGTGGGGTTGGTTTTTTCTCGAAGGTCTATGGGGTTTACAGGGACACTTTGCCACTGGAATCGCAAGGCTTTCTCTGCGGAGCCTGCCCCGCAGGACGCGGGAGCCTTAGTTTCCCAAATCAGTTGGGTTTAGGCTTCAGGGTTGTAAGGTGAATAGGCAATAGGGTTGATAGGGTAGGGTTGATCGGGTGATTGGAGTTAACGGAGTCTAGGTTGGTAGGGATAATAGGTTTAGTACGGAAAGGGAGTGTTCATAGGGTTGATAGGGTCAAATGGGTTGATCAATCGGTTGATCGGATTAATGGGGTTAGTGGGGTTAGGCTTAAAAGGAGAACTAGGCTTAATGCGGTTAATTCTGTTAATCGGGTTGATAGGGTTAAAGGGTTGATGGGGTTAGTGGGTGTATGCCTGTATGAATTTATGCATGTATGCATGTATGCATGTATGCATGTATGCATGCATGCATGCACGCACGCACGCATGCATGCATGCATGCATGTATGTATGTACGTATGTATGTATGTATGTCTGTATGTATATTATATACATACGTACATACATACATACATACATACATACATACATACATACATAGTGTTCGTAAGGTGTATAGTTGGTGTTGTGTTTATAGGGCGCTTACAGGCGCACGTCCAAACCTGCTGCCCCAAAACCGCACACCCCAAACCTCAACCACCCTTAAGCGCTAACCCTAAACCCTAAACCCTAAACCCTGAACCCACAGGCGAAGTTGCTCGAGTACGAGGCCCGGCCAAGTTTCGCCAACGCCGTCGGCTCTTGTTTGGGTCTTGGGAAGGTATTTCGGGTTTCAGGGTTTGGGGTTTGGGGTTTAGGATGCTTTATGGTTTAGGGTTGGGTCTAGAGTGTAGGGAGGACTTTATTGGGGGGGTGGGGGGCTTCAAAGGGATTTAGGGCTGAGGGTGCATACGCAGGGTGCTGACTTGAGGGCTTAAAGCCTTAGAGACGCTTGAGAAGCCAAGCTCCTCCAGTCCCTTAAAGCCCTAGAAACATCTGCAAAAAGGCTGCATCATCCGAAGTTTAGGGTTTAGGGTTTAGGGGTTTAGGGGTTTAGGGGTTTAGGGGTTTAGGGGTTTAGGGGTTTAGGGGACCGAAAGAACAACCCTGAAAGACTCAGCGCCCCCCCCCTTCAGAGAGAAGCGCTCAAGGTTCCCCCACTCCCCCCCCCCCCCCCCCCTCACCTGACCCTAAACCCGGACCCTGCCCTGAACCCTGAACCCGAACCCTGAACCCTGAAACCTGAACCACCCTAAACCCTAAACCCTAAAACCCTAACCTAAACCCTAAACCCTAAACCCTAAACCCCCTAAACCCTAAACCCTAAACCCTAAAAACCCTAAACCCTAGCCCTAAACCCTAAAAACCCTAAACCCTAAACCCCCTAAACTCTAACCCTAGCCCTAAACCCTAAACCCTACACCCTAACCCTAAACCCTAAACCCTATACCCTACACCCCAACCCCCAACCCTTAGCAGGTCAAGTCTTGCAAGCACACCATCCTGCCGAGCTCGCCGGCTCCCCGTTTAGGGTTTAGGGTTTTGAGGGTTGAGGGTTGAGGGTTGAGGGTTGAGAGTTGAGGTCTAGGGTCGAGTTGGAGGAGGGCTCCAAAAGGTTTCTTTTCTTCTCTCCTGCCTCCAGGCCCCAAAATTTTCGGGGTGCATGTGGGGTGGGGGGGGGGGGGGTTAGCGTTTCGGGTGGGTTTATAGGGTTTATAGGGTTTACAGGGTTTATAGGGTTCATAGGGTTTATAGTGTTTATAGGGTTTATAGGGTTTATAGGGTTTATAGGGTTTATAGGGTTTATAGGGTTTATAGGGTTTATAGGGTTTAGGGTTTATAGGGTTTATAGGGTTTATAGGGCTTATAGGGTGTATAGGGTTTATAGGGTTTATAGGGTTTACAGGGCTTATAGGGTTTATAGGGTTTATAGGGTTTAGGGCTTCAGGTTCTTCTTGCTTCTTGGGGCTTTGGCTTCACGGTGTTGGGGTTTCCCAACCTTTCAGGGGTGGAGGAGCCCGCCCATGGTACCTCTAAGGTTGGGCGGTTTTCTGGGGTAGGTTAGTAGGCTAGTAGGGTTTGTAGGTTAGTAGGGTTTAGTAGTTTAGTAGGGTTATTTGTTTAGTAGGGTTTAGTAGGGTTTAGTAGGTTGGTAGGGTTTAGGGTTAGGGTTTAGGGTTTAGGGTTTATGGGTTTATGGGTTTATGGGTTTATAGGTTTATGGGTTTATGGGTCAGGGTTTAGGGAGCCAGGTACGCCAAAAGGAGGGAGGGGTGTAAACCTCGAGGAGGTTTTTGGGGGTAGCTGCAGCTTGGGTGACAAGCAGCTGAGCATGACTTGGCTTCATACGGGGGTTTAGCCCTAAAATAGACCCCCCAAATAGCAGGAGTCCCTTAGATAATGGACCGCAATAAGGGATCCCTATTTTCAGCAACCCCCCCATACTGCCCGTGATCCATCACATAGGTGGTATACGGCCTGACTCGAAGCCTTTGAGCATCAGACCGTGGGGTGGGCAGGGATCCCAAACCCAAAGGCAAACCTTAAGCGCCCTCCCCTAAACCCTAAAAACCTAAACCCTCAACCCTAAACGCTAAGCCCGAGGCCCTCAGCCCAAAATCCTGGACCCTCAAGGCCCTCGTGAGCTCCTAACCCACTAAACCCTGAAGCCCGTAAACCCCAAACCGTCTAGTTGGGATTCTCTAAAGTATGCGCCCGTTTTTTGGGCACCTTACATGTAAGGCTCCGCATCATGATCTCCCTAAACCCTAAACCCTAAACCCTAAATCCTAAACCCGAAACCCTAAACCCCTAAACCCCTAAACCCCTAAACCCCTAAACCCCTAAACCCCTAAACCCTAAATGTGATCGGATCCCCCAAAAAGGCGCATAGTTTAGAAGCCATGTCGCTGCGCCTGTCCCGCCTGTTGGCCCAGCTGTGTGCCGGCGACCCTGGTGCCAGCTCCTAGGCCGGGTTTCTACCCGAAGCCGTAGACCCTAAACCCCCAACCCTAAACCCTAAACCCCAAACCCCAAACCCCAAACCCTAAACCCTAAACCCTAAACCCTAAACCCTAAACCCTAGACCCCAAACCACAAACCCTAAACCCCAAACCCCAAACCCCAAACCCCAAACCCCAAACGCCAAACCCCAAACCCCAAACCCCAAACCCTGTCCCTCAAGATGAACACCTACGTCGAGACCCTCCAATGTTGCCATCTTAGGCATCGCTTGGCCGACGTCCAGTGAGGCCCTGACTCGTGGAGTGCGCATCCAGGCCCCTCGCTTTCGGGTTTAGGGTTAGGGTTTAGGGTTTAGGGTTTAGGGTTTAGGGTTTAGGGTTAGGGTTTAGGGTTTAGGGTTTAGGGTTTAGGGTTTAGGGTTTAGGGTTTAGGGTTTAGGGTTTAAGGTTTAGGGTTTAGGGTTTAGGGTTTAGGGTTTAGGGTTAGGGTTTAGGGTTTAGGGTTTAGGGGCTTCATGACAGTGTCTGACCCTAATGTGTGCCCAGGACCCGAGACTTACTCGTAACCCCAAGTCATGCAAACCTAGGTCGGCCCTTAGGTGGATATTTTAACCCTCAACCTAAACCCTGAACCATATTTTCCCTACTGAATTCAAGAGGATTATCTTAGGCATAACTTCAGAGGGTCTGAAGGGCTAACCTAGGTAGAGGTGGTGATGGTGTTGGTGGATTTCGATGGAACACGTTGCCTTTACCGTAGGTTTTTTTCTCTCAGGGATCTTCGCGATATCCCAGCTTTTGGCCCAAGCATCAGTCTGGCCACGTTGCGTGGATCAGAGCCTCTTACAGGGACGTGGCAAGCTGCCACTTATGATGATGAACGGTTTCGAGAACCCTGAAGCTATTCCAGGCTTTTGCACCATGTCCATCTATGTCCCAAACCCTCAACGGCCCGAACAGATACGACTGGTCCTATCTCCTTGGTGAGGTTACATAGATGGTTGCTGGCCTGTTCCCTTGCATCCTGTAGATCTTCCTGGAGCTTCCGAGCGCCTCCCTTCCTTACTAGAGATGGGAGGAGACGCTGCCCCGGTGCCGCGCCGCAGCCCGGAGCAGCTTGCAGCCATCCCCTGGCAGGTGGATGCCCTCATCTTCACTGGCTGCTCGGCCCTGTCCGCCCTGTCGGTGGTGCCGGTGGTGATGACGGTGGACATGACGGTGACCAAGGCAGCCGCCGGCGAGCCACTGAGCAGAGCCTTGCTCGCCGGCCTCAAAGACTTGGTGTTCCGGCCTCACATGGTAGCCAGGAAGCCAGCCTTTTGGATGGTCATGGGCGTCTATGCTTGTACATATGGTGCCAACAACCTGGTGGACGTGCTGGCGGAGCGCCGTGACATGAGCAGTGTTTCACAGAGCGCAAGCAAGCTCGTGCTGGCGACGGGGGCCTACACCACCTCCTCCATCCTGAAAGACGTCGCTTTCGCCAAGATGTTCTCGGGCGCAGAAGCTGCACCGGTGAAGAAGGCGGTCCCTATGGCGACGTATGGTACTTTCCTTTTCCGCGATGCTCTCATCATCGGGGCCGGATTCATCCTGCCGGCCATAGTTGCCAGTGGGCTGCGCTCAGCGACCGACATGGACCAGCCCAAGGCGGAAAAGATAGCACAGCTCGCAACTCCCTGTGGGATGCAGATCATCATTACGCCCATCCACTTGCTCGGGCTCAACTTCTACAACGTGCTGAAAGCTTCTGTCCGCGAGAGAGCCAGGGCGGTATGGAGCACCTATCCTGAGTCCACAGCAGTTCGTATGCTCCGCTTTTGGTGGGCCTACGGCGTGGGTGGGCTGGTAAACAAGGAACTCGCGCAGCGTGCACGCGACTACACCGTGAGGGCCTACCCGGCGTCGGAGTGAGGGCACGACGCCCTGGATGGTAGTCTTCTGGATTCTGGCTACTTGTACAGCACTGTAGCACTAGTCGGTCACTGCTCGCTGAGCATACCTATGGCTAACTGACCTAAACCATGCAAGTACTAAGATACATCTAGCCGTGCACTGGCCGCTAAACCCTAAACCCTATAAACCCTAAACCCTGAACCCTAAATTCTCAAGGGTTGGTTGAGGCATGCACTGTGACGTCTCTCTTCCTCTCTCTCTTCTGTCGGCAGAGTTTCGCGAGCTCATCCAGTATGAGTCCTCAAGTCCTGCTGAAGGCAAAGCCAGCGAAAGATCTTCCTTGATGGGAGTTTAGGGTTTATAGTTTGGGATTTAGGGTTTAGGGTCTAGGGTTTAGGGTTTAGGGTTTAGGGTTTAGGGTTTAGGGTCTAGGGTTTAGGGTTTCAGGGTTTAGGGACTTCAATATTTGACTGACTTGTGGGCAAGACGAGCATCTTCACTTCCGCTTTCATATTGGTGGGACTTTGCAGATTCCGCTTGCTCTAGAGGGGGGCAATTCATTCCTTGTCCAAAAGGTCCATCCCCGAAGGAAGGGACACCCGAAAACCGAAGCCCTAAGCCCAAGTTTTAAACCAAAACCCAAACCCCAAACCCCAAACCCCAAACCCCAAACCCCAAACCCCAAACCCTGAACCCTGAACCCTGCACCCTAACCCTAAACCAAACCCCAAAACCAAAAACCCTAAACCCTACACCCAAAACCGGTGCGCGAGGCCTCCGCTAGCTTCGATGCTGCCGCCTCCGACCCGGCGAAGGGGCGGTGGCAGTGGACCTACAGAGCGCTTGGGTAGGGTTTAGGGTTTAGGGTTTAGGGTTTAGGGTTTAGGGTTTAGGGTTTAGGGTTTAGGGTTTCGGGTTTAGGGTTTCGGGTTTAGGGTTTAGGGTTTAGGGTTTAGGGTTTCGGGTTTGGGGTTTAGGGTTTAGGGGTTAGGTGTTAGGGTCTAGGGTCTAGGGTTTAGGGTTCAGGGTTTAGCACGGCAGAAACCCAAAGAGCCCAATGTCCCCCAAGTATGGATTCTGTTTTAATTTATATAGGGATCCTTAATGAAATTTGACCTCTTGGGCTAAACCCAATTTAGGGTTCAGGGTGTAGGGTTTAGGGTTAAGGGTGAAGGGTTACGGTTTAGGCTGCGCACGATGGGTGTTCTGCTGGCTAGCACAAGTTGCAAGGAAAGGGTGTGGCATTATGAGCACTTTCTATGACGACTCTTGCTATTCCTTCATTCCCCACTGACCAAAAGCATGTCGAGCGTGAACGGAGCTTAGCATCAGAGTCTTACCCCTTGCCGTGGATACATACGCTCATTACAATCCGATAGCATGACACCACTACGCACTAAACGGTACCTTAAACCTTAACCCCAAAAGGGAACCCTAAGCCCGAAACCCTAAACCCTAAGGTTTAGGGTTAGTTTAGAGCTTGTGATGGCGGGCGTGGAGTGCGGGGTGCTTCGTGCGGGGCGGGGAGGGAGGTTGATCAGGGGGGAGGCGGAGGGTGAGAACGCGGAGCGCGGATGAGCATGTGAAAGGGCGCTGTTTCTTGGCACCCTCATTTCTAAGGGCCGTGTAAAAAGATCATGGCCCAGGAAAGGAACAGGGTTTAGGTTTAGGGTTTAGGGTTTAGGGTTTAGGGTTTAGGGTTTAGGGTTTAGGGTTTAGGGTCATATTTTCGAATCAAGCCATGTGCAGGGGCCCAGGGCTTCGGGGCTACGGGAAAGCCTCTTATCCGTTGGTGGCCCGCAACGCAGTCTAGGGTTCAGACAGAAAGTCAGCTGAAGACCCTGAAACCCCTGGCCCGCCGGACTCTTCAAGAATCCCAAAGCCTAAGCCCATGAGGGTTTAGGGTTTAGGGTTTAGGGTTTACTAAATCAGCAATCAGTGTTAGGGATCCTTTTTACTTTTTGGGTTATGGGCTTTCTTATATATAAACAAAAAGGATCCTTTTTTCTTCCTAGGGGAACAGGGATTAAGTTTAGGGTTTAGGGTTTAGGGTTCAGGGTTTAGGGTTTAGGATTTAGGGTTTAGGGGACCTCAAGGTGAAGATCTCCAACGAGTCCGCCCACACTCTGCAGCTGCTATCGCGACACTGGGTCATCGTTGAGAAGTCGGGCCTGGTAGCAGAGGTTGGCCCGAAGGCCCGGGTGTGGGGTTTAGGGTTTAGGGTTTAGGGTTTAGGGGTTTAGGGGTTTAGGGGTTTAGGGGTTTAGGGGTTTAGGGGTTTAGGGGTTTAGGGGTTAGGGGTTTAGGGGTTTAGGGGTTTAGGGGTTTAGGGGTTTAGGGGTTTAGGGGTCGGGCGTTTAGTAGGGTTTAGGGGTTTCGGGGTTTAGGGGTTTAGTAGGGTTTAGGAGTTAGGGGTTTAGGGTTTAGGGTTTAGGGTTTAGGGGTTTAGGGTTTAGGGTTCAGGGTTTAGGGTTTAGGTTCAGGGCCTACCCGAAGTTTGCACGGAGCCTGTGTAAGAAAGGAACCGCAACAGGGGGCCATGATTGAACATGGTCTAGGGAGCCACCCTACGGGAGTGGAAGGGGACGGGGGTAAGGCGTTGTAGTGCGGGGGGTTTGAAGGATGCAGGGCCTAAGAGTGGTTCTCACAAGCCTCCACCCCTTGACACGGTTACCCTAGACCCGGCACCCCCTAGACCCAAACTTACATCCAACACCCCAAAGCCTAAAGCTCCCGAACTCCTAAACCCTAAACACCCAACCCTCACACCCTAAACCCAAAGCCCGAAAGCTCTGAGCCCGAAAAGCCCCCGCTACTCCCCCAAGCCCTAAACCCTAAAGCCTTCAAGCCCTGGCCCTACGCCCTAAGTACCCAAAGGTAACCATAAACACTCCCAGGCCCTAAACCCTCAACCCGAAGCCCTAAGCCCTGCACCCTAAACCCCAAACCCCAGACCCCAAACCCTATGCCCTAAACCCTAAACCCTAACCCGAGCCCTCAACACCCAAAGGCCCCAATGTAAAACCCTGGGTCCTAGGCCTAAACCCTAAACCCTAAACCCTAAACCCTAAACCCTAAACCCTAAACCCTAAACCCTAAACCCTAAACCCAACACCCTAAACCCTAAACCGTAAACATTCGGAGGCCCCTGGAGTCCTCGGCCAGCAGCCAATCCTGCGCCCGGGGGAGTCCTTTGCCTACAGCTCCGCTTGTTGCCCGGCAGATGGGTCTTAGTACTGAGGGCGGCCAAGGTGTGGGGTTTACGGTTCAGGCGCCTGGGGGGGGGGGGTTAGGGCTTGAGGGTTTTTTTTTGTTTTTTCTTTGGTGGCGGGGGGGGGGGGGGTAGGGTTTTAGGGTTTTAGGGTTTTAAGTTTGGGGCATTCGGGGCTGTCGCTTGAGGGCCGCGTGCTGTGCATGGAGGGGTTTGGGGTTTAGGGCTCGAACGTTTGGTGTGCGGGCGTCGGGTCATGGGCTTAGGGCATGTGATCTCCAGGCCTATTTTGGGAAGACTGTGGATATCTTTACAGCACATGAAACCTGGGGATCATAGCATGCTGCCTCATCATGATATGGTGACTGGGCTACCAAGCCCAGGAAGACAGACCCGAAGCCCTCCTCCGCCCAAAGCCTCCACGAGCCCGAACGACTCAATGTCTGAGGCCCCCTGTCTTGCGAGGCGCCGTGGGATGTTCAGGGTTCAGGGTTGAGAGTTTAGGGCTTTGGGTGTGTGCGGGAAGGGCTTGCTCGGGTCACTCTCATGTCTGCCCTTATCGAGATACATGGCTACCTGTCGCTACACATGCAGCTGACAAAAGTGGGGAAGCTGCCCTTGCCACTGACACCACGCCGATCCCTAAAACCGAAACCCCTAAACAGCCAAACCTTGTACTATAGCGGCCTTAATGATGAGAATAGGGTTTTGGGGGTTGGTATAGGATATTGATATAGGGACCATGAGGGAACAACTAGATTTGGGCAGTCCCTTTATAGCCCTAAGCCCTAAACCCTAAACCCTAAACCCTAAACCCTAAACCCTAAACCCTAAACCCTAAACCCTAAACCCTAAACCCTAAACCCTAAACCCTAAACCCTAAACCCTAAACCCTAAACCCCAAGCAGTTGCCACTATGGGTTGAAGGCCGGCACCCTTCATGGATCCCTGGTGCCTTTGCCCGCAGATCCGCTTGAAAGGGACCTTCTTAGGGACTTCGAGAGGTTTAGGGTTTAGGGTTTAGGGTTTAGGGTTTAGGGTTTAGGGTTTAGGGTTTAGGGTTTAGGGTTTAGGGGGTTTAGGGGGTTTACCGGGTTAGGGGGTTTAGGGGGTTTAGCGGGTTTAGGGGGTTTAGGGGCTTCGGGGGGTTCAGGGGGTTTAGAGGGTTTGGTTTCGGGGATTAGGGGGTTTAAGGGGTTTAGGGGGTTTAGGTGGTTTAGGGGGTTTAGGGGGTTTAGGGGGTTTAGGGGGTTTAGGGGTAAGGGGGGTTTAGGGGGGTAACGGGGGTTTAGGGGGTTTAGGGGGTTTGGGGGGTTTAGGGGGTTTAGGGGGTTTAGAGGGTTTTCGGGGTTCAGAGGGTTCAGAGAGTTTGGAGGGTGTAGAGGTGTGGAGGGTTTAGAGGGTTCAGAGGGGTTAGAAGCGTTGTTAGCTGCTAGCAAAATACAATCAGTTGTAGCTTCTCTTCTCTCTTCTATCTCCGAATGGTCGGTCAGACGCGGAGGTTTTGAGGCTCATGAACTGGCGAGTGGTTATGATTCAGATTCTTAGTAAGGGTTTGCATGCGTGCTGATCATACTTTTGACCACAAGCTCCGTTTCATTCGCTCGCCAGGTTCGCTAATGAAAATAGGTTTCCCAAAATTATGATGGAAAGCACTGTTCTTTTTGAACCTGTGGGGATTTACGAAATCGGGGACCCCAATATCGACCCGCAATTTGTCGGACCCTTAATAAGAAGGACCCCAAGAAGGTACCCCCACTTTCTGAAACATCCAGATATTGTTGTTCTGTCAGAATTAACGTGTGGAGGAATGAAGCTGTGTTCAGAATAACCGAGCAAAAGAGCTGGCTCAAAAGGGCTTAAGGGATTCTTCTGGAGGAGGTCAACGGTAACCCTGTGTGTTTGAGCCTTGAGGCACCGGGACTTTTGGGGCTGCCCCAAAGCCGACACCTGAAGCCCGAAGCCCTAAGCCCTAAGCCCTAAACCCCAAACCCCAAACCCTAAACCCTAAACCCTAAGCTAAACCCTAAACCCTAAACCCTAAACCCTAAACCCTAAACCCTAAACCCTAAACCCTAAACCCTAAACCCTAAACCCTAAACCCTAAACCCTAAACCCTAAACCCTAAATCTTAAACCCTAAACCCTAAACCCGAAGTTCATGGGGCAAGGAGATGAAGATCCTTGAGCCGGCCGAGTTGCATGGGCGCCGCTTCGAGGCCGCCGGCCTCCTGAGCCCCGAGGGTGGGTGGCTACTTGGAGGGTTCAGGGTTTAGGGTTTAGGGTTTAGGGTTTAGGGTTTAGGGTTTAGGGTTTAGGGCTTGGGGTTTGGGGTTTGGGGTTTGGGGTTTAGGGTTAGGGTTTAGGGGTTAGGGGTTAGGGTTCAGGGTTCAGGGTTCAGGGTTTTGGGGGTTAGGGTTTAGGGTTTAGGGGTTAGGGTTTAGGGTTTAGGGCTTGGGGCTTCGGGCTTAGGGCTTAGGGCTTAGGGTTTGGGGTTTGGGGTTTGGGGATGTGGGGGTTTGGGGTCCAGGAGTTTAGGGGTTTAAGCGTTCAGGGTTTAGGGTTTCGGGCCTTCGGGGTGTAGGGGGCTTAGGGGTTTAGGGTTGAGGGCGAGTTAATGGTGGGTTATGCCTGGTGTAGCTACAGTTCCGGCTGGTTGCAGCCTCATCTGAGGTCTTCAAACCTACTTGGAGTATCATGGGTACTTATAAGTCCACTTAGAACCTACTTCGGGGACTTAGCGGCCTTATAAGTACGGATATAATTAGGGTTAAAGTACCCATGAACCTCCAAAATGAGTGTCAGGGTGATTAGGGTTTAGAGTTCCGAGGGTTTGGGGTTTAGGGTTTACGGTTTAGGGTTCAGAGGGTTTAGGGTTTTGGGCTTAGGGTTGAATTGGAGGGTTTGGGGTTTAGGGTTTAGGGAATAGGGCTGCTTTGATGACCTGGCAAACCCTCTAAGTCACCATCCAGAGCACCCAAAACCCTAAACCCTAAGCCCTAAGCCCTAACCCTAAACCCTAAGCCCTAAGTGTTTCGGCGCAGGCGGAAATCGGCCGGTTTGGCTTGGCAACGGAAGGCGATGAGGTCCTGATGCCCATCGTCATCCACGAGGCCCTTCAGGGCCCTAGGCTTTATAGGGTTTAGGGTTTAGCGTTTAGGGTTTAGCGTTTAGGGTTTAGGGTTTTACTGGTAGGGGGGTGCTGCAGGCGACGGCACTTCTGCTGTGTGGAGCACCGGGTTTTGCCCCAAACGTGGTTTCCCCCTGTGCCCCCAGTTTCATGCTTGGACATGTTTTGCGGGGTGTTTTTATGGTCTAAGGGTAGTTTCAGGGGCCCTGAAAAACATGGGCGCCCTGAAATTTGTGCAGGGTATAAGGGGCATGTAAGGGGTACCCTTGTAAGGGCCCATACTACGGGACCATGCAACTACCCGTAAGTTTAGGGTTTGAGGTCTGGGTTCGACTTCTTCAGGGGCTTCATGGGTTTTCACGCATATCTGCTCAGCACCGCAAGCTGAAGCAAACTCCTACTGGACCCCTTGAAACAAGGGTTTACGGCTCAAAGGTTAAGACCCAAACCTTGGTTCCCCCCTATACTAGCACTTAACTGGGGGCTATAACAGCAGGTGCTAGAATCCCTAGTAGGGACTGCTAGTATAAGGGGGGAACATCCCAACCCAAACCCCTAAACGCCCCTCGTGGATTCGATGGCGCTATCAATGTTGAGTGCGCACGTTGCTCGACTCCGAGCAAACCTGGTACAGGTTTCGAATAATTTCTAATAGTATAATATTCCCTAAGGCCCCTTTTAATTGTACTAAAATAACCCCCAGAACCCTATTCTAATTATTTAGACCCCTGTAGTACACCCGCGAACCAAGATGGTTCGTATGTGACATCTGGCTTCTTGGTTCTTAGCTCCTAGGTTGCCCAAGAACTGAGGCTCATCACCCCTAAGCCCTAAACACCCAAAGAAAAACCTCAACCCGAAGCATCCCTAAACCCTAAACCCTAAACCCTAAACCCTAAACCCTAAACCCTAAACCCTAAACGCCAAACCCTAAACCCCAAACCCTAAACCCTAAACCCTAAAACCCTAAACCCTAAACCCTAAACCCTAAACCCTAAACCCTAAACCCTAAACCCTAAACCCTAAACCCTAAACCTTAAACCCTAAACCCTAAACTCCAAAAGAACGCCTTCAACCCGAAGCACCCCTAAGCCATTTCAGGCTCGACCCGCCCGCACAGGCACTTTGATGGCGTCGAGCCCCTCTCAATGCGCAGTTACCCAGAGGACTCTGGGATTTAGAGGGCAAAAGGATTTAGGGACCCTAAACCCTAAAAAACCCTAAGTAGGCACTAAAACTCTAAGAAACCATAAAACCCTAAACCCCAACTAAAGCACTATAAAACCCTAAACCCTAACTAAAGCACCAAAACCCGAAGTACAGGGGTCGGAACAATTGCAATTGCTGACATCTTCCCCTCATGGTCCCTATATATATATATACATATATATATATATATATTTATGTAGATACTACTGCTTTTAAAATAATTAATTAATTAATTAACTAATTAATTAATTACGTAATTAATTAATTACTTAATTAATTAGTTATTTATTTAATTAATTGAATCATTAGTTCATTAATTCATTAATTCATTAATTCATTACTTAATTAATTTATTATTATATATATATTACTGCTTTTGTTAAACATAAACAAATAAAACAAATCTATATATATGTATATATAAATATATTACTGCTGTTTTGTAAAAGTTAAATTAAATACGATAATGCTATAATCATCCCCAAGACCCTGTTCGATCACTAAGGCCCCTGAATACATCTCAAGTCCCCAAACCCGAAGCGTGAAACCTTGCGCCGGGCAATTCTACTTGGAGGTTCATGGTACTTAGTAACCAATTCTAACTGTACTGATACCTGTACTTACAACTACATTAGGGCACTTAAGGGGCTGATAAGTGGGTTCTAAGTACAGCTGTAATTGGTTCATGAGTACCATGAACCTCCAAGTAAACCCCAAACCCTAAACCCTAAACCCCAAACCCTAAACCCTAAACCCTCAACCCTCAACCCTAAAACCTCCAAGTAGGGTCCTTAAGGGAGGGCGGTTTAGAAGGCATGTAGCCCAAGGTTCCCGAATCCTCCCCACTCCCCAAGGCTCTCCTAAGCTTCCCTAAGTTTCCCTAGAAACCTACCAGGGTTCAGGGTTTAGGGTTTAGGGTTTAGGGTTTAGGGTTTAGGGTTTAGGGTTTAGGGTTTAGGGCCCTCCATGAACCCCCCAACCTGAAGGACCCCGTCCGGCAAGGAGGTGAAGATCCTTGAGGCGGACGCAGGCTCGCCGGACGCCTCCTTTGCTTTAGGGTTCAGGGTTCAGGGTTCAGGGTTTAGGGTTTAGGGTTTAGGGTTTAGGGTTTAGGGATTAGGGATTAGGGTTTAGGGTGTAGGGTTTAGGGTGTAGGGTTTAGGGTTTAGGGTTTGGGGTTCATTTTTTTGCGGAGGTTCTCCTAAGGTCCTATGGTTCTTAGGTGCTGGGTGGGTAACCTCTAACCTTTTGGGGTAGTATAAACCCCTTTAAACCCAAAGATGAACTTTTTTCCCCCAAGTCAGCTCAGCACCTAAGGGTTTAGGGCGTTTAGGGCGTGGAGGGTTGACAGGGTTGAGGTTTCGGGGATGCTTCTTCCTACGTGGGCCAGGGGGACATGTCATTCATGCGGCTTGTTGGGCTGCGGGGACAAATGAGAACAATAAGCAATTAAACACAGTCATCCTTCAATGAGTAACACGTGATATTGAGTTGGCAGTTCTTTTGGCTTCTGTACAGCACAAGGAGCCCCTCAAACCCCTATAGAAACCCTAAACCCAAAACCTTAAACCCTAATTGTCTTCTTCTCTTCATTTTTTCGGCTGAGCGCAGATGTGTGCCACGACTCGCAAGAACTACTACAGGATCGATTTCCTATTCTGAGCTACAAGGTAATTATACAGGGTGCTGGATCCTAAGCCCAAAACCCCGGAGTTTGCTTCAAAATCTTAAGCCCTCAGCCCTTCGCCCTCAACCCTAAACCCTCAACCCTAAACCTTATACACCCTAAACCCTAAACCTTATAAACCCTAAACCCTAAACCCTAAACCCTAAACCCTAAACCCTAAACCCTAAACCCTAAACCCTAAACCCTAAACCCTAAACCCTAAACCCTAAACCCTAAACCCTAAGCCCTAAACCCTAAACCCTAAACCCTAAACCCTAAACCCTCATGACGGTGGACGCGGGCCATGCTGGACCGGGCGATCCTGGGAGCGTCCCACCCGACCTTGGCGAGCTCCAGCCTCTCGTAGATGCTCTCATCGGCAAGGAGCACCTGGGCCTCCATTTTGCATTCTTGGGGGTTTAGGGTTTAGGGTTTAGGGTTTAGGGTTTTGGGTTTAGGGCTAGTAGATGCTCTCAGCGGCAAGGAGTGGGGCTCCATCTGCTTATTATTTTTTGGGGGGTTAGGGGGTTTCGGGTTTAGGGCTAGGTGTATCCAGGCAAGAAGTGCCCTGGGGCTCGATTTGCTTACTAGGTGGGCCCTTGGGACATTGTATGTTTTCCCTTATCTACAAAATTTGCTTAAGAACCCAAAAAAACACAAAATGTTTTTCCCTATTAGGGTTAATATGGGGACTATTATTTATTATTAGTGTTTTATTATATTTTTTTCGGGTTCTTAAGCAAATAGTAGTTGTTGGGGTTTAATGAGGATCCTGTTTCAATAATTTGCTTTTCGGACTTTTTTGAGGGCCATCCTAGCGCTTGGGGGTTTAGGGGTGTAGAGGGTCTAGGGGCATGTGTTAGGGTACCTAAACCCTAAACCCTAAACCCTCAGCCCTAAACCCTAAACCCTAAACCCTAAACCTAAACCCTAAACCCTAAACCCTAAACCCTAAACCCTAAACCCTAAACCCTAAACCCTAAACCCTAAACCCTAAACCCTAAACCCTAAACCCTAAACCCAAAACCCTAAACCCTAAACCCTAACCCCTAAACCTAAACCCTAAACCCTAAACCCTAAACCCTAAACCCTAAACCCTAAACCCTAAACCCTAAACCCTAAACCCTAAACCCTAAACCCTAAACCTTTGTGGGTTCTTGGTAGAGTCGCAGGTATTGGGAGCAGTGGGACGGCGCAGTGGAGACCCGTTTGCGGGATGGACAGTTGAAGATGATCGCGCAGATGTTTGGCCTACATCTTGTGTGGCTGGGACCCACTTGGCAAGTTTCATGGGTCCTTAACATTATTTTTGTAGGGTTTAGGGTTTAGGGTTTAGGGGTTAGGGATGGTTAGGGTTTACTTGGAGGTTCAGGGTACTTGGTAACCCATTGTAAGTGTAGTTATGACCCAGATATGAGCCCCTTAAGTGCCCTACTGGGTTAAAAATTGGGTTATAAGTACTTGGGCTACTACGTAGCATGAACCTCCAAGCAGAGTAGGCCCTTGTTTCCTTTCTTTAGGGTTGGGTTCCCTTAGAAGCCCTTTGAAGCCAAAAAGGGTACTCTTGTTATTCCTAGGTTACTCCTTGGTCCAGGTGGACGTGTTTCCAGTGGGGTGTGATCATCCTTGCGACGCACCTCACGTTCGGCACCTTGACGGACAAGCAGTATTGGTACATCTTGTTGCGGAACACTTTTCTTGTCCACTACTCCTTCGAGTTCCTCGGGTGGACGGGTATGTACTCGTCGCCCTTGGCGGGATTTCCCATGACGTGGTACAGATTTCGCACTGGCACCCTCAAGGAGCCCTTCCTGGCGTGCCTCGGAGACACCCGGGGCGCGCTGGACATCTGCGTCAGCGTGGCGAACGCGCTGGTGCCGCTCGCGCTGGTGGCCACCTCCCCGGAGAGCCCGGTCATCTGCCTCTGGGCAGCGTGCGTGCTCGCCCTTTTGATCTCGGACTTCTCAGGGTACATCGGCGCTTTGGGATGCTGGTACGGCCCCCTGTCTGGGGTTTTTGCTTTTCGGGCCATCTATGGTGACCGCGGGCACCTGGCTGCGCTACAGATCATCCTCCTGCTTGTGTACTTCGGGTGCGGCGTGGGGAAACTGGGGCCCTGGTTCCCTTACGTGATGGCCGAGGAGTCCACGCAGCCCATCTTCTGCCCAGCCAGGGCGCGTGGCGTCTTCTACAAGAACTTTGGGGAGAGGAACTTCGCCCCCTCAAGCCTTGCGAAGGCCAGCGGATACCTTGCGGCCGCGTTCGAGGCTTTCTTCCCGCTCCTCTTCCTTTTCGGCTCCTCGCAGCAGGGGCGGTGGCTTGTTGTTGCCCCCCTTGTTGGCCTCACAACCATGCACCTCTACATCATGGGGCGGCTGAGCTCGGACGTCTTCATGCTCCTTGGGACTATCTTAGCCCTGATGGAGTGTATGACCCATCTACGTTCAGAAGATTCGTAAGCTTGCCTCTCTGGTAGAGTGGCCTGTAGTTCGTGTATCTGGTAGAATGGTCTCTAGTGTATCTGGTACCTTTTCAAGGTGTGCGTCCGGGGGGGGGGGGGTTTAGGGTTTAGGGTGTAGAGTTTAGAGTTTAAATTTTGGGTTTAGGGTTTAGGGTTTAGGGTGTAGCGTTTAGGGTGTAGCGTTTAGGGTTTAGGGTTTAGGGTTTAGGCGTACGTTGAAAAGCAGACTTTATAAGGCTCAACACGGTGCCCATCCTGTGGCTCCAGTATGCCTTTGGCATCGGCACCTTCGGCTTCGACTACGCGGGCTGCGCCGAGATGCCTAGAGGCCTAAACCCTAAACCCTAAACCCTAAACCCTAAACCCTAAACCCTAAACCCTAAACCCTAAACCCTAAACCCTAAACCCTAAACCCTGAACCCTAAACCCTAAACCCTAAACCCTAAACCCTAAACCCTAAACCCTGAACCCTGAACCCTGAACCCGGAACCCTAAACCCTAAACCCTCAGGCCTCTCGTGCTTCTTAGCCCTGCTCGTCCTGCAGATGGTGGTGGGCCACCTGCGGCCGGATCCTTGGCAAAAGGAGCCCTCAAAGTTTAGGGTTTAGGGTTTAGGGTTTAGGGTTTAGGGTTTAGGGGGTCCTTCAACGCTTGGGGGGGCTGGAGTGGAATGGAGTGGATGATCCAGAGCCTTCCAGTGCAGATTTTGTCCCTAAACCCTAACCCTAAGCCCCAAGCCCTAAACCCGAAACCCTAGACCCTAAACCCTAAACCCTAATTCAAGGATCTCGTG